ATTAGCACAGACGCTTTACAATGTACAGAAACAGTAGTTTGGGTATGTATGAAACTATGTTACTGCATACAATTAGTTAAAAAAAAAAAAAACATTGATATTTCAGTATGTACAAGGGTTCTACAGCCGCTAGCTTGTCTTTCCTATGACACCGTAGAGCCTCCAGAGATTGGTATTCCCAGACTAGACTGTTTTTTGCTGAAACAAGCCCTAGAACACGTGAGATTTTTGTTCACAGACAGATTAGGAAGCAGTGCAGGATCACAAAGAAACTATTTTCTTTCCTTTCTTAAATTTTTCAAAATGTTACAAAAACCAAACACACACAAGCTTGTTTAACACAGAGTTTAGACTCTCCTGTGCCATTCTGAATCAGCTTACTCAAACTGTAATGCAGGGCGCTACATATTGGTTTAAAGCAGTCATAGTTCCGTATTTGTAAAAAGGTAGGTGTGTAAACCGTTTAATCCCTAAAGGTAATGAAGCGCCAAAGGCGATAACTTAATTTTGACGAAGTTGTTAAAGTGTCAGGAGTGTTCCTTTAAGTATTCACTGCTACAAAATAACACTATCCTCTTTCCTGCTGTACTCTCCTGCATAGAATGGCAGAATTTTTCTGCTGGGGCACTGACACTTAACTGCGGTATCTCCACCCAAGGTCAGGCATAGCCCCTAATTTGCCTCATATCTTTTGACGATATTGGAATTTCGGTGAAATGACAACACAGTCAATGAGTATTTCATAAAGGGGTACAGTGCCGGTTTAAAATTACAAGGCAAGAATGACATCAGCTAACTCATGGACGTTCTAATCTTTCCCCACTGCTCATATTAATTCACAAAGCAGCAATATAGACCATAAAGCCAACCCAGAAAACACTACTAGGATGGTTCTTTGTATTAAACTTGAAAAGGAGAGCAATCCAGACTGATCTGTGGCTACGTTTTAAAGAAGGCATATTTTTTCTTCTACAAGGGATCTTTAGAATGGCTAGCATTTCTTTCTCATTATCTTCAAGTTCAATGGCTTGAAATTATATGCAAAGTGGTACAGCAAGTGATTGCGGACCCTGGGATGCAGGAAACTAGCTGAAAAGGGCAGCAGGGAGTAGAGGCATATCACACATGCAATTGTTTCCTTTTCAGTTTTGGATCGCTTTCATTAATAGTCTGGATATGGCACAATCAAGATCTAAATTAATGTACCAGAATATATAGAATGCATTTAAGCAAACGGGCAAAATAGAATACTAGGAAAGTGCGATAAAATTAATTTATAGTACTTATTTCAAGAACATATAAGCGCCATGCTTGTACCTTGTTTCACGAGGGTAAGCAAACAAATGCTTCTATATCATTTTATTTAAAAAGCACTGTACAATGGGTGAATACAACATTCAAGTAATTGATGACAAATAAATGTAGTCACACAGAAACCAAAAGGAGAGGAGGGCCCTGCTCAAATGAGCTTACAATCTATATACCATGCTCATATCATGCAGGCCACTAACTACCTCAGATCAGACAGATACTTGGGAATATAGAGCTCACCACTATTAAAGAAAAACCCAGAATACGGGGGGAGGGTTGGTTACTTTTTAACATGCATTAGTTTAACACACTTCGGTAATTCAAAATGACTGTCAGATCAACCTGTTTACAGCTACGAGAACCATAAAGCCTATTCTGAACAACTGATCAATACAAAGCTAATGCACAGCAATTCAGAAAATATAACTAGACAATCTCTTAACACACCTTAATAATTCTTAGTGCTACACCATCATATGAAACAAGTCCCTGTGTGAGTTAAGCGGTTCTGTCACTTTTTGGAGTTCTAAATATTTAACAATTTTCTGAATTGTAGTTATTTTGTAACATTTAGTTTCTTATGATTTTGCTGGTTTGATCATATCTGGCAGGGATGTATGTATTGGGTTCAGAATGTTCCCTGCCCTGCTTTCCATCTTAACTGACGGCTAAGGTCAGTCAGCTTTCAAGAAGCATAAGTTGAGTTGGAGAAACAAAAAAATAAAAAGGAAGGTTTGTGGAGACACAGCAATACATATATTTATGCAAGTAAGACTAGAAAACAAAAGAAAAAAAAATCCACTACACAAACAAATTTAGAAGAATTTTATTACGGAGAAAAAAAAACAATAAAAAACCCAAAGTGACAGAACCGCTTTATGACACAGCATATAATCAGAGATTACACCACCACTATTAAATTTTAAAGCAGATCTTCATTGCATGCAATCAACTTTTTCTAAATAAATCAGGTTTTGTTATATGAACACTATTTAGGTTTCTTCATTAAACCATTAAAAGTTTCACATTTCTTTACTTTTGAAAAAGCCTACTTATGCCAACAGCATTCATAGAAAAGTCACTCAATGGGACAGATGTAGCAGCCATGATCCCTTTGACATAAAGAAGTTAAGTGCTTTAAATAAAAATAAAAAAAAAAAAAAAAAAAAAAAAAAAATCTATTTAAAAAAAAAACACACACAAAAAAAAATACAAAAAAAAAATACAAAAGGCAGAAGTAGAATAACAAAAAAATATTTTACTAAAACATAAGATTTACAGATTTTCAAGACAAGCCATACACAATGGTCACAAGCTTTGGATGTTCTAACACTTGGAGAACAAAATGGGAAAAAAAACAAAAAAAAAACAGAAGAGATATTAGTGAAATGTTTGGTAGTTTTTAGTGGAGTTTTTCCATTCCCCCCTCCCCCATAGTTAATTTACACTTCCCATCTACTGTCACTTAAGTTTCTGCAATGGAGTTTATATACTAGTGCAGGTTAGCTGCTTCCAAACAATGAGAATAAGAGTAGAGAAAAAAAATAAAAAAGGGAAGAAAGCCTGTGAACAAAGACAACAACAATAATAAAAAAACAAAAAAACAAAAACAAAAAACATTTACACTGCAACTAACCTAGACTAATTCCATTCACAGTGCTTCTACTCAATTCATGTAGGGAATATGGAACAAAGGTCTTGTTACCTCTAACATTTCATAACATGCCGGTGATATTTTTTACAGCCTCTGCACATGCGATACAAAGTGAACTAGGACAAGACATGAGATGTTTCTAATGTGCATTTTAATCACCAAAGACGGACCATGTCTGGGCTTTTTTTTTTTATTCTGTATTTTTTTTTATTGTATTTTCATTTTTATTGTGTGTTTTTTTTTTTTTAAGACTGTGTCCATCAAATGCAAACAAAACAAATGAAAGAAGGTCTTGGCAGAACTGGAGGAGAAGTGATGCACACCTGGAGATCAAGATGAATTTAAACATTATTCGTAGCGTATAGCCTAGTCCACGCTCTGGCTGCAAGGAGAGAGAGAGAATTTTTTTTAATTAGAAACAGCTTATCGATTAATTAACCCCTATTACATGTATAAAGAAGCTTGATGATAAGAGGGAGAATAAAAAAATGACTGACCCAGGACTACAAGTTCAGCTTTAATGAACAACCTCTAGGCCTGTAGTATCCAGCAAACTGTGTTTGATTACATGAATTACAATCCATATGCGGCACAGCATTCATTTCAAAAGCAAACAATAGTGCTCACTGTGATAAAATCAATAAGAAATTAAAAGTAAGAATAATCTCACATTTAAAAGAGCAGTCCTACTGAGAGACTGACCTATGGAGCTTAATAACCATCAGGGGGATTGTACAGCTGTATGTTTTATTTAGAGCTGGTTTATAGATCTATGAAATGTGAGTGATAGCGCAAATATCTTTGTTGTGTGTCCTACACCTACCACTTGAGAATCTGCACTATTTGTGAATATTTTCTAATTTCACTGCATAAATCTACAATTATTTGAAGTGAGGACAGTTCCCAGCCAAGAATTGCAGATTGTAATTATTGGACTTATTATTTTGGCGCAGGGAGCATCTGTGTTTTGTATTGTTCTGTTATTTCACTTATGAAGTGGTTGAATGCATGCCTTAAACTTAGGGTTTGCGGCCAGTTCTTTTATAATCATAGTTGACTTCTTAGCACTCATCCTATTTTGTATATCATATGTAATTCCATATAACAGAAAAAAAAAAAAAAAAAGATATTGTTCACTATCATTGACATAAATAATATTAGTTCAATCTATACTTGCCACTCTGTCTGGGCATATGGAGATTAAAAGGAATTTCTAAGCATGGAATTCGCTGGCTGCCAAATCGGTTTTCTGTTAAAATGTTTGGGTCAAGTGGAGGTCTCCCAGCACCTCACTTGATGTTTAGATAAGGTGGGAGTTTCAAAGACGTATGGACATTTGACCTTCTATGAAGTATTAAACATAAAAAAAAAACCAAACATACAAAGAGGTAACTTTTGATACCTAAAATTCTCACATTCAATACAAAATACTCTTAATACAATACTAAAATCATGTTAAGCAGGGAAATTAAGTGTTACTTATTCAAATAAATTTGTCAGACAAATTGCAACTGCACATATCTCTTTACTTAAATGAAACAAGCAGTCTTAAGGTATAATTAAGTAATGGCATGCAATGGTGTAATAGGAGAACTAGTGTTTGACAAACAGTACCTGTTTCTATGGCTTGGCCTTCACTTGTCTTCCACTGCTCAGCTACATCATTTGCTAAAGGATCATCTGGATTGGGAGCGCTTAACAAAGCCTGAATAGAGAGGAGCACTGTACGTATCTGCAGAGCTGGTGACCATTTATCTACACAGACAAGAGGTTTAAAAAATATTAATGAAAAAAATTACTTTCAGGGCACCAGAAGGAAATTGCACAACCAAATAAAACAATGAAAAATCACATAATGGCTTATTAGCAGTTTTTCAGGTGATGCTCGGTTTTCCTTGAAATTTACATTCAAGATTTAGCAGATTATATGATCAGTTCAGTCCAGGCACAGCCAGGGCGCACAATGCAAATGAAGAGGAGAAAATAAATAGTGATGTCGCGAACCGTTCGCGAACTTGCCGCGACGAACTCCAGTCAGCTGACACATCCCTGCCAATCTCCGGCAGACCCTCCCTCCCAGACTCTCCTACTTCCTGGACAGCATCCATGTTGAAGGCAGCTTCAACATGGATGCTGTCCAGGAGGTGAGAGGGTCTGGGAGGGAGGGTCTGCCGGAGATTGGCAGGGATGTGTCAGCTGACCGGAGTTCGCCACAAACCGTTCGCGGCAAGTTCGCGACATCACTAAAAATAAATACAATATCTGTACGTTTTCTCTATGCTGAATGTTATGTGCAGAGGACAGAGTTTACAATGTCTCAGATGGAGCTAAAATGGAAACGTTTACTTGCAGGATAAAAAGGTGTGAATTTATATAAAGGGCATAAATACATGTAATACTAAGGTGACAGTTATCCTCCTAACCCATGTAGGACAGCCAAGTCATTTTTAATCTAACCAACTATTTTTTGTTGATGCAAAAATTTAAGAGTATCAAAGTGCCAAGATAATAATATGACATTTACCGATCACATATAATGTAGTACACACAAAAAATTAAAATATAATATACAATACACAGGGGGCGGGGAATAGTTTTTTTTTTTTTTTTTAATTAAGATTTTATGAAAGGGAGGGGGTACAGAAAGGAAAAAGGAGGAAATTGATGGACCTCATTACAGAGGGGTTGGATGATCACACAGTACCACTACGTATGTAGAGTGGTGCCTTCCATAGAATTGCAGCGCCAGTATGTAGGTGAAGAGTGTGGAAATAGCTTTTGTAGTCTGCTTGGTACCATATACCATTGGTAGATGATTTTATAATGTTGCGCTGTCAAGGTAGATGCTCTAAATAGTTTTTTTGGAGTATCGGAAAATAGATTCCCATTGTTTCTGGAAAATTATGCAGTTTAAATAAAAGATCTACTGTTTCGCAGGTTTGGAGTCCGAAAAGGGAATGTAATCTGAAATCAATTTGTAACACATGGAGATCGGTTTACATAGGGGAGGTAAGGAGTAGTTGATCCAGATTTGTTCCCACTTTGTCATTCATGTTGTGGTGATAGAGTAGGTAGTGTCAGATGTAAAACTGTGTTTAATGAAAGAATTTAGCTGCAGGTATGAGCAGTGTGTGAAGCGGGAGAGTGCATATTTGGTTGTTAGATAGTCCAACAGGACATTTTGCCGATAAAAAAATGATAAGTGTGTAGCTCAATCCATGGGTCGGCATTGAAAGTGGGGATACAGTATGTCAGTGTTTGCAGAGGAGTCATAGGAGACAGCGAGGTAGTGCTGCACAACTTTGCAATTGTTGCAAAGCTCTGCAATTACCCCAAACTTAAAGTAGAATAATTAAACTCTGAGAAATCCATAAGGCATGTTTGCCCTCTGTCACCTCACATATTGAGAAACAGAACTGCCAACCTAATGCTTTCATGCCCTGGAAATATGTATCTGAAAATTTAGGACCTGAAGTTTGTGTTTGTGCACCAGATGATATTGAATAGTTAGGATTTCTAGACGTGCTCTTATGAAAGTCAGATTAGTTGATGCTGTTCTACCAGATCATTCACATGACTGATCTGGTAGACGCAAACATAAAACATTATTGAGGAACAGGAAGTTCTGTGCATATTTCAGACAGACATGTGACACTATGTAAACTCGATTGACATATTGTGAGTGGAATGTTGTCAAAGGTAGGAATGGGGCAAAAATTTTTTTTTCCAAAATCATAACCCTCAAATATTACAAATCACGCTTGTTTTCCAACTGCTACACATAGTGCACCTTTATGAAACTAAAGTGATTGGTTCCTGCAGATACTTTCATCAATCCAAGTTTTAAAAAAGCATCTGTGTCTGCAAGTCCATACTTATGGTATGCAGCCAAGTGCCACGTTTGTAGTAACAAAAGCTCAATAAGTGCCATATTTATGCACAGCTTTTGTATCTATGTACATGTAGTAGTTTGTTCATATTTGAACGGGTTTTTGGTGATTATATGATCATACATGCCAAGCAACAGAACAGTGATTAAGAATAGGCGATGAGACTTGGAGATAATTGATCTTGCTAGTGAAATCCTCGGTTTACGATTTTTGCTTGCAAAATAAATTAGTAACACGATATCAAGACCAGGAGTGCACAAGTATACACATATTTATCTATATACATTTTTTAAGTTCCTGCATATGCAACATATTCAAGTTGTATCGTTTTGCCACCTCCTCGCAAGAGACACTTACCTTTCAAGATATCTAAACATATCCTTCCCAACTTGTCTACATTAGGGTGATAGATTTTGGTCATGAAGCGTACTTTAGGAGCTGCCATTGGGTATTCTTCAGGAAGGAATAATTCAAGTTTAAATGTCCCTCCCTCAAATGGGGAATCCTGTGGACCTGCAATAACCACGTGAAAGTAGCGTGCGTTGTTTTCATCTGGCTCAGCTTTTATTCCAGGGACTGGCTCTGCCATTAAACGCTGGGTTTCCTAAAACACATACACAGAGAACTTACATTTAAAAAAGTTGTAACAGACATAAACAAGCAAAATGCATTGCATGTGTGAATTACTATTATTTTTTGAATAAAAAGCAAATAAAAAAAAAAAAAAAAAAAAAAAAAAAAAAAAAAAAAAAAAAAAAAACACCTACCAGTATTTTATTTCATTTTCATATTTTCCTTGCATTTCGAAAATAAGTTCGTTTTTTTTTTTAATTGAGTTATAAAATTAAATAACGGATTATATTAAGGATGCGCATAGGGTAAGCTAAATAATGGACTATAATAATTGCTTATAACAATATGCAACAACATGCAAGGCAAACGGGACATTTCTGGTACAGGTTTGATGGCCGTAGGGTGTAGTGAAAAATAGATTTACTTACCTGAAGCTGTCCCTCGCTGTCACCGCCATCTTCTTCAGCTCCTAGTGCTTCATCGACCTGGAACTGCGTTATTGCTGTACTTTCGTACATGTGAAAGTGTACAACACTGACGTTTTTTGGAGGATCCTATGAGTGCCCATAGATCATGTCTTCTGATAAGCAAGACAATGCCTCAATCTCACAGCCATCACTTGGACAAGAGTTGATAGCAGAGCTCCTCCTTTTGTCAACCTCAGTGTTGCTCACAAAACAAAGCAGCCCTTTGTCTTATGGTAGCTTTGGAATTCAACACAGTCAGCAAGTATTTCATAGAGATTTTATCTTTATGAAATACTGAGAAGTGGCTGAGCTTCCTTGAGTGAAGCTTAGTTATCTTAGAGATGCACTTCATGCATGGGAATATTAATAATGCAACTATGTTTGAACACCTAATGTACATGACAGTTATCGTGCATGACAAATGGGCGCTTGTCCAACATGTTAATCATGTTACAAAGTAAACCTATGTGAAACACCTTATACCTTCAGGAAATACAGCAACATTATCAACCAATATATTGGTAAGAAAAACAAACTTGAAGGCAAGATATGTTTAATCTAAACCACTATCGCGCACAACATGATTTACTACACACCCAAACTCTGAAGTCTAGCAATACTTATTACTAAACGCTTTGAGCTCCCTCTAAGTATTCCCTTGTTCCCCCCTCTGTCTATCATTTGTCATTCGAGAATCGGCACTAGGTGCATGCATTTGCTCATTTCGTGCTATGAAACTCTGAGACACACATGTAATACTGCTTAGTCAGAATGTTGTGTTTGTTTGTTTTTTTAATTAATAAATGTTGCATAGCAAAAATTAAGGCGAAAACAGTACAAATACACCCAGCGATAACTGCCATAACAATGTTAATGAACTGCAAGCAGAGTGATCTTCAGTCGAGTAAGCGCTGCTCCTCACCCAGGATCCTTTAAAATACCGAAAGAACACGAGAAGGTTAAAAAAAATAAAAAAATTATATATAAATAAATAAATTCACAAGCACACAGTGAAATAAGATGTCCACACTTCTTTTATGGTTGAACTTCAGCTGTAAGTGTAAACCTATTAAAAGAGTGCTAGTGGTGTTTAACAAATCTGGAAACCATCCAGTGGCTGGAGAGCACTACTGCAGTAAATTCTTAGCAGATAATTGAATGTACAATGCAGATCCTACGTCTCAGATGACGCAAATCATTTGTGAGCCACTTTTATTTATCAAAAAACTGACAGGCATTCAAGGCTTCACTTTGGAGACAGGGATATAATTGGGAGAGGAAAGTTGGCCTGCTTCCTGCACTTCACAGGTGACCTCTGTAGCTAAAAGGCTGTCTATGAATGTACCAGTTATGATTGTCATATGATTTATGTCTCTTGGAAAGGCAGCTGGATATGAAAATTAACTAGTTATCCATGTAACTTTGCAGGATATAGACAGCCGATACAGTACAATACTCCAGCCTCCAATGCATTCTTGACGCACAAAGGGGTTGGGGGAAGAAAGAGACCTGCCAGCCAGACACACCAGTCTGCAAGCCGTAGTTAGCCTGCCAACCAGCCACAGTAAATAAGGTGAGAAGAGCCAGCTTGAGCTGGGTACGTTATATTACTATATTGTGAACACGGGCCAGAGTGTTAGAGAGACAGTCAAGTGATAATACATGCAATACGCATGCACAGAATGCCTAATTGGATCGGAACAGTCAATTCCACATCATTTCTGGTGAAGCGGTCGCAACTGAAGCTATGTGTTCAAGCAATAGAACACTGTCTCGAGCGCTGCCATGTCGCGGAATGATGCAGGTCTGAAAAGTATGTCACCAACTCTCTTGTTAAGTGCTGCGGAAGCGCGACTAGAGCACTGCTTACCACGTTGAACTGTCACTTGGTACAGAAGTCTCCAGAGGAAAGAACAATACTACACTACAGAGAAGTTTGAACCCCCCTAATTTGTATATTGTTTTAGCTAAATTGGAGGAGGAAAATAGAAAAATGGTTACAGATCTGAAATTAGCCCAAATCAAGGAGACCCAATTGGAAATAAGAAATAAATACAAACGCCATAATAAAATTTAACCAAAGTTGGTACCATGGGGATAATAGAGTTTGCAAGCATTTTTCAGACGAACTTAAGTTTAAAAAAAGAAGCCAACTAATTAGGAAGATAATTGAGGGAGACTAAGTTTATATCTCTCCATCAGATATAGGTAAAGCTTTTTCCTCATATTACAGGGCTCTGTATAGTCTCCTATCAGAACGGGCAACCTCAGA